GTGTGTTATATAATACTGCATAGTTGTGTGTGTGTGTGTGTGTTATATACATACTACATAGTGGTGTATGTGTGACATACGTACTTACATAGTGGTGTATGTGATATACAGACTTACATAGTGGTGTCTGTATGTGTGATAAACACACTTACATAGTGGTGTGTGATATACATGCTTACATAGTGGTGTGTGTGTGTGATTGTGTGTGCCATACATATTTATACACAAACACACACACACACACAGTTTCATAACATGCTAAAAATATATATAACAAACGTTTCTCCTTCAGTATCCTACTTGTGCTTCGTCCGTCACGGTTACTTATTCACAGGATCGTATTAAGAGAAAAGGGGTATTATACTGTGAGTAAAATCAAATAAAATAAAGAATCCTTGTGTGTAAACAAAGGGTCTTTCTTACGCAAAGCATTATGGGAGTTATAAGGAATGTAAATGTTAAGAAATAAACGTGGGTACAAATAATATGTAATCCTGTCTTTGTACACCGAGAATAAGATCATGTACATAATATATCGTTGATGTACTTTAATAAATAATGTACAGCGATCAGTCTCTCTAAAAGTATATAGAGCATCGCAAATACATATCATAATCTCACACCAAGTTATTTGTACAAAGTATGATTATTGAGAAAGCTGATGGCGACCCCTGAAAGCAAAAACAACATGTTACGGCAATACATTGGAGTGTTTTTGCATGTGCTTTTAGTCGATTCGAGTGATTGCTTTAAAAGGCTAACGTTTTTCTTTTCTTTCTTTTTGGGGATTATTCTTGAATGCGTGCCTTTGTGTCTATAAAAGTATGGAATGGTAGACCGCAGATTACAACTCTACAGGGATATAGCAACGGCTTTTAATCTTTTTAGAATCTCCCTGTATATACAATCTATCCTATATATACAGTTTATGCATTCAATATATGCAATACTACATATAGAATATAAACATACAATATATGCAGTACTACATATACAATATATTCAATACTACATATACAATATATACAGTACTACATATACAATATATATAGTACTACATATATAATATTTACATACAATATATGCAGTGTTATATATACAATAGATGCATATACAATATATACATGTATATGCAATATGGCCTACAGACTGCCCAAATTGTATTCCAGATCCGCTCTAGGAAAAGGTCACTCTAAAACCACTTTACCATAATTCATAAAAAAAATGAATAAATAAATGAATAAATAAAATAAACAATAAATAAAACGTATTTGGACAATGTCACCATATTGCATATCCAATAAATCAATTACATGAACTGCATTCCTAATACATGTAATGTTATGGTCCCGGATTGGCTGTTTCGGCACTTAGTCTCAAAATACAATCCAGATTAGACTGAAATGAAAGCCGTATACGTTGCCAGCGAGATCCGAGCTGCCGATATCCTTGTAATTGTGTTAGATTTAACAACCAATAGAATAAGATCTGCCACAATCACTGCAGCGCTGCATAGGAGGAAGGGCAAGGGAGGGGAGAGGGAAAGGGAAAGGGAAGGAGGAAGCGGCGATGAAGGGGAGGAAGTGGAAGACGAGGAAGGAAAATAGTATGTATGTGAAGAATACAGAATAGAGGTTAGAGGGCAAGGAAGAGAAGGAAAGTCAACGTATGAAAATACGATGATTTTGTGAAATGCTGAGAAAAAAGAAAATACGAAGAAGAAATAGCAAATGATAAGTAAGATACAGAAAGAAAGAAAAATGTGATATATGTAGCACTTTTCGTCCTCACATATTTTCCCCACGCCTGTTCGTCACTAAATATTTCTTTTATATATACATATATATATAGAGAGAGAGAGAGAGAGAGAGAGATTTCGTTTTTTTACCGATCATCACTACCTGTTTATCGTTACATTGCATGAGAAATTCTTCTTGTAATTGCACTTAGAATGATTCATATATCTTTTGCTAAGGTCGCTTCGCTAGTAGACGCCAGAGAGTAACTGCATTCACATCTGATCGTGGGTCCGTGAAAGGAGAAGGAGAGGGAAGGGGAAAAGGAGAGAGGAGAGAGACAGAAGGGGAAGAGAGAGAGGGACAGAGAGGAAGGAAGAGAAAGAGAGAGAAGGGGAAGGGGTAGTGGAACAGAGAGGGAGGTAGAGAGAGAGAGAGAGAGAGAAGGGAAAAAGGGAGAGAGACAGACAGACAGACAAACAGATTGACAAGACAAAGACAGACAGACAAACTCAGAGAATGTGGACGGGAGGGAAACAGAGAGGGAAAGAGAGCGAAGTTCTACATTTTTGACGCAAGATCATCAAATTGTACAAAAGATATGCATTATGAAATACGTGGCTAACAATATCAGATGAAATATCCAGCTGCTAAATGTCAAAATGGCTCTGTTCATAAATGATTGTTCTGCAATATTTATTTAGATTTCTGCAATTCAGAAAAAAAGTTAATCTGTTTGTTCGTGCTGTACAAGGAAATATTTTGTTAGTGTATATGTTTTATTTAATATACGGTTTCATATTATTTGTACGATAACGTGTTGTTATATTCATTTGTTTGCTTTTTTTTGTTTTTGTTTATGTTTTAATAAGCTCGATGCCTCTGCGCTAAAGGCTTCATAGAGATGGGAAATTTAATTTGTGGATATTTGCATATCATTTTGTCTTTCTTTTTATATGAAACGATCATCGTAAACTTGTAAGCTAATTCGATATAATAATGAAAGGTAACTGATAACTGGAAAAAAATAAATAAATATATATAACAAGTGTTACATAAGGCAGTGTATAAATGATATAGAAATTTATATTTTATTTGAAGTATGTAGTCACATGTCAATAAAGTCAATGACTGTTTTATAAATGGCAGGAATATGATACTAGGATGCTGTTATATATATATATATATATATATATATATATATATATATATATATATATATATATATATATATATTTTTTTTTTTTTTTTTTTTTTTTTTTTTTTTTTTTTTTTTTTTTTTTTTTTTTTTTTTACGCAATAATGCATAATGCTGAAATATTCTCAAAATTGTTTTAGCAGATCAGTGTTGGTAGGTTTATAAGTGTGAGGATATATAGTGGTTTAATTTCACGATGTTTCATTTTATTTTGCCAAGTTTTAATATGATTTGGTAAGGAAAGATATATTTGTTGCTAAATAAATATATTCACATTTGAAGCATTGAAAAATAAATTCTTGTAACTGACATTTTTGGATTTGATCATGAGTTTTTTAAAGGTATTCATTTAAATTCACTTGCTATATCAAAGTAATGTTTAATATATCTGAATTATGTTCTTTGTTTGATATCTATAATGAACTGAAATGTTCACAGCATCTAATGATAATAAGATAATAAATTGAATGATATTTGAGTGTTTCATTTCATATCAAGGACTATTTTCAATCATTTATTTGTTATACGATAATCTGGGGGGATCCACGTGCCTTATTCGCAAACCAACATTGTTAAATTCACGTTTAATAATTCCCTGCCTTGAATGAGTATATCTTCAATCATTCTGTTGATATTATTGATGGCCTCTTGATTTCGAGATGAAACTTTAGTAAATAAATTTTGACATCATAGCAGCTTTGAATTTCCGAGAATGAGAGACCTGCTTACAGTTTGTTTTTCTTTCTTTTTTACGTTATCACTAGACACCATATGTTATAATTTGTATGATTCACACTCGCGTCATATCTGTCAAAGGGAACTCAGTATCATATTTCGTAGTGGGAGATCATAACTTAATACGTGTAAAGAAAATACGTATTGCAGTCGAGAGTTGAGAATAATTATACCACTTTCTTAATTTGGATTTAAAAATGAGAGCTCTTTTATTTGCCAAATCTCTATCTTATTCACTCTCATCTACAATTCTTGATCATAAAATACCATAACCATGACTATAGGGAACCTTTTGGATATTAGATAGAGACTTGTATTCACAATGTCACTTCTTCACATTAAAGGGTATAGTCTGGAACTTGACACGTACACACACGCATTTACTTTTGATTATATTAGTTATGTGTATTTTGTGTACAGTTGTTAGGTTTATATTTAGCTATCAAGATATCTGACTTCATATTCTAGCCATTTTTTTTCTTTTCTTTGCTTACTTGGGCAAAAAAGGTGACTTACAAGGCTTACCAAATGCTCAAGCTGGGTTGCACTTGCTTGATCTAAGTCAACTCGGGAATCATCACCCTTTCGGCCACGCCCGGGAGCACTTTTTGAACCAGAGGAACTTGGGGAGACAGAGCCAGAAAGCTTCCTTTGACCCAGATAATGCAAAATTTTCCCGAGGGCAGAGAGAATCTATAGTTTATGATCAGTTTAGAAATTCGTTTGATTTAATAATACTACTAATACATTATCAAGTTCTAAAGTTGGCCGAGACGCAATATTCAGGTCACCTTAATATTTGGATATCATAGAATATAGAACATTTCAGCTTCATTCCCATGGCTTGTAGTTTTATATCGTCCTTTCAATATTTTTCACAGATTGCAGCTTGCAGTATTAACGGAATTTGTCACTCTAATATCTATTTCGGTTAATCATGAACCGTATTCATTGTGACAAATGTAGAAATATGTATGAACGATAATGAATATCTTCACAGTGCAAGAAATGTATTTAACCGGTTTCGATTATAGCATCGTCAAAAATACGAAGATATAATACATCTCTTGCACTGTGAAGATTACTAAAACGAATTCATTCTACCTTTAGTGAAGACCCTCCCCTTAATCAACTGACACTTTTAAAAAGCTCCAATCTCATTAGATTTATCTGGCACTGGGACTCAGGCTTACTTCCGCTATCAGGGAGGAATAGAGAAGCCAGGCTTTGAGTCCTCTTTGCCAAAACCTGTCTTTGTTTTGTTCATCGGCAGTGGGGATCTAAAGGGCATGGTCGTGGGATCCTCTTCAAGTTTTACCATGCCGATGTGA